ATGGGCCGGCCGGCGCTCCTCACTGTCCACACCATCAGAGCCAACCACAATGCATCCGTGACAGACCCAGTGCGGAGATTACAGGCACCACGACAGGTTCCCTGGTGGTGCTGGAGCGGCCGAGCAATGCCTAGCACCATGTACCCTGCACGGCATGGCCTCCTGTGCCCCCCTCACCATGGTCCTGGCCACCTGCTGGTTCCCTCTCACCATAGTAGGAAAGAGCCTGGGGTGGGAATCTGGGACAGGCGGGCATCCCAGCATGCACCAGGGCTTCCCATGGGACCTGAGAGCTTCCAGTCCACCCAACACCTCTTGTCCCTGGATGGTGGGTATCTGGTGGTTAGGCTGCCCCAGTTCTGCCCCCAGGGCCACCAGCCCGGCTGAGCAGGCAACAGTGCATCAGGGGGTTGCAGGAATCGCCCTCCTCCCTCGCCCCCGTGGCCCTGAGCAGCTCCTACTGGTCCCACTAATCTTACTAGATGGCCGGGCTCAGCCAGGCATCCCGCGGGCAGCTTGTTCCATGAAGCATGTGTCACTCTAGAGGCTCCAGGCTGCGGCATGCCGGGAGGACCTCATCCTTGGAGCACGGTGTGGTGCGGCTCACGGGGCAGGTGAAGCAGGGCCCTCGGGCCTCCTGTGGGGTGGGCGTCTCCCGACGCAGGCTCCTGCAGGCAGGAGAACCTGGAGCTGGGTGGGGTGGGCGTCTCCTGACGCAGGATCCTGCAGGCAGGCTTCCTGGGTCTGGGGGACGTGGTGCTGGCGGCGAACACACAGGGCTGTGCCAGTCCCATTGGAAGGCAGTGTCCGAGGCTCAGATGGAACCACTCAGCTCCCCCTCAGCCCCCAAGCCCCTGCTGTGCAGCGAGCTGTCGGAGCAACAGCTCCCACTGCCTTCTCCACGGCGACACGAGGCCCACAGTGACCACCCGAAGGTCTCTTTGCAGCCTTGCCAGTTGAGGACCCACTTGCATAGCGGGGCTGGGACGTGGCTGGGAGCTTGGCGGCTAGTGCTGGGGTGGCCATGCACAGGCCATGTGGCATGCCAGGATGGGTCCTGGCAATTGGCTGCTATATCCGGGTGCTGGCCTGGCCTTGCTGACACAGCCTTTAGAGCCACTGGAATCAGAGTTGCCTTGGGCAGGCAGGGAGTCCTCATCCTTGGAGAGGTCCAAGGGTGGCCTGGAGGACAGGCAGGTGGCACATGGAAGGCCAGGGATGCCACAAGCTGAGGTCCAGCAAGCCACCTCCAGCTGCCTGGTGCCAGGGTTGTAGATGGCTATGCCACAGCAGCCCTCCCCTGGTGCCCTGCGGAGGCATCTGCAACAGTGGACACTTAAATGAACACTGACCCCACAGTGGGGCTCTACAGGGTGTCTGCATCCAGGGGCAAGGCCACACTGGGGGCCTGCGATTCCCTTCCCACTTGACGGTGCCATGGCTGCTTTGAGTGCAAGGGAAGGATGTTCCTGGGAACCGCCAGCTGGCCGCGCTCCTGTCCCTGCAGCAGGGGAGGGTCTGGCCTTGACTGCATCCTGGACTCTTGCTCCCACGTGTGGCCTGAGCCCTCTGGGGCCTTCCGACGTAGGATGGGGCTGAAGGGTGCAGGTCTCTGGGTGCCGGCGGCCAGAACGGGCAGTGTGGGCAGCACTGCGAGGAGGCTTCCCATGGCAGAGCCACTCCGTCCCCACGGCAGACTGCTCTTCTGCTGCGGGTTCTGCACCGTCTCCCTGTTGGATCCTCACTTCCCAGCTTGCTTGCTTCTGAGCTCTTTGAAGCGGCTTCATTGTCCCCTCGTGCCCGTCCTGGCGTGGATTCCGAGCCAGGTACGTGCCTGTTTGTCCTGATGTGGTTTCCAAGTGGCGTTCGAACTTGTGGCGTGAACTTGAGCTCAGTCCTCCTGTGGCAGTGGGTTGGTCCTTCTCCCTCTTACTGGTGTTCTTGCTGGGGGAGGGGTCCTACGTCAAGCCAGCCACCCCCCCCCAAGTTCCTGAGCTGCACCGGAGGTTCTGGTTCTGACACTCTGGCCTGGAGTCTTGTGAGCCTGCAGCCCAGCGCCCGTCCTGTGGTTCATTCTTCCCGCCCAGGCCCTGGACAAGCACCCTTCTTCTCCAGTCCAGAATGGTCCCACCCCACAACCCAGGTGGCTAAATCCGCCAGCGGGAGGCACTACTTCGGGGACCGGAGCCCGTGCCACGGCTGAGGGCAGGAGCTCTTGCTTTCTCAGTGGGGAGGGGCGCCCCAGACTGGCTCTGCTCTCAGCTCTCAGAGTGGCCCACCTGTGGCTCCTGACTCCTGCTCCCTGCAGGGCATTGTGGCCTGGCAGAGGTGGTGCCTGGTCACTGGGGATGGTGCCCAGAGCCTACACCCTCCGTGCCTTAACTCACGCCTGGCTCCTCTTCTGTCACAGACCCTTGCACACACATGTGCAGATTTGCACGCACACCTATTTGAGTTTGCTCCTGGTTGGCGCTCAGCCACCCAGCACCGGCTGCACGTCCATCAAGGCAGGGTTCTGGTGTCCAGCACCACCTTGCCAGGTGTCCCACACAGGGAGGGGGTGGGGAGGGCAGTGTGCCCGCACACCACTATGGCCTGGCACAGGCTCCCTCCACACTGCAGCCCCCAGGCATTAGTGCCAGTGACCAAGCAGTCCCCAGTGGCTGCCTGCAGCCCTGTTGTCAGGGATGTCCACCCTGTGCCCAGCAGCAGACGCCCAGGCGGGCAGCAAGCCCCTGTGTGCCCCAGGCAAAGCCCCACCTGGGCTGCAGAGCCTGGGCTGCAGAGCCTGGGCGGCTGCCGATCCCTCCCCTCCCCCTGCACCCACCTGTACCGGGGCAAGAGTTCCTTCTCCGCCCCCTCCAGCACACAGGGAGGTCACAGGAGGCCCCTCCCACGGAGGTGCTGCATGCCTGTTCCTTACCTTGTCCACTCTCCCAGCTGGCGACAGCCTCTGCCTGCCTGTGAGCGTGCAGAGTTCACAGGCAGGCCTCCTGCCGTGCCCACCGAACTGCAGCGTGCAGGCCGCATGGACTTCAGCCTGCACCAGTGGAGTCCAGCGAGCACCAGTGAATGCTAAGTACCTGTGAGACACTGGGTTCCATGCAGACTTACACACAGGCCCTGAGCAGGCTGGCTTTCAGCTGGCCATCTGTGGGTCACCACTGACCCTGGCCAAGGGAGCCCCACGGCATGACTGTCCTTGCCTGTGGCTGTTCAGACTGCTGCCTGACAGCCACGCCGTGTGTCCCAAGCGGCCGGCCTCCAGGTCCCAGGCCAAGGACCTGGAAGCAGGCGCTGACTGCCCCTCTTGGCCTTCCCTGTTCTCCGACTCTGCTCTTGCTGTGTCTGCCCCGGGCCCGCCTCCGCGGCTCTGCCAGAGTTCACAGATGTCACGGGGTGACCTGCTGGAGCTGAGACCCGGTGAGCATAGCGCTCCCGGTACCGCAGCAGGGGCCGCGGCTGGGCCTTACCTTGTACATGCTGCACAGCCCAGGCTGGCTGCGGGTGCTGCAGGGCAGAGGGCTCCTGCTCTGCCTGAGCCACGGCACCTGCTGGGGACACAGAGTGTGCGTGAGTCCGGCATGGTCCCTGGGCAGAAAGCAATGGCTGTGTGGAGACGGTGTGGGCTGAGGGTGGTGAGGGCCTGGGGAAAGAGGAGAGGAAGGGAGAGGAAGGGTGGGGAGAAGGAGGAGAGGAGGGGTGAGGAGAGGAGGGGTGAGGAGAGGAGGGGTGAGGAGAGAAAGGGAGGGGAGGAGGGAAGGGAGAGGAAGGGAGAGGAAAGGAGAGAGGAGGGGAAGGGAGGGGAGGAGACAAGGACGGGGGAGGTTGGTGAGGGCCTTCAGGGAAGCCGGTCAGTCACACCCAGGACCAAGGCACAAGAGAGGGTGTTGGGATGGCACAGTCCCTACCGGTATGCCCTGGCCCCGCCCAGACCGCGTGGCTCAGGGACACGTGGCTGCTCCAGCAGACGACGAAGGCGTGACCGCGTGCAGGGCAGAGGAAACCTACCTTCCGTGCGGCTGACCTCGTGTCTTCAGCGAGTCCCCGACAAGTGTGTGAGAGCCTGCACTGTGGGCACAGACCCTGCTGCCCGGTGGGGCTGGTGGGGGGCGCCAGCGTGGGCCAGGGCCCTGCTGCCAAGTCTCTTGCTGGGACTGGTTCAGGGAGGTCAGTAGGAGTAAGAGCTTTAGCCTATTCGCCTGCTGCAAGCCCCCGAAGGATCCTGGATCCCGGCATGCCCCTCATGTCACTGCTCTATCCTGCACCTGCCACATGAGCCCCCTCTGAAGACATGGGGGGTAGTCGGCTGTAGGCACGCCTGCAATCTGCCCAATCCACAGCAAAATGAGAGAGAGCGCGCAAGAAGCCAAGTTAAGCATGGCTGGGTGGTGCCTCCTGTGCGCGCCAGGTGAATGGCACATTTTCAGTAAGTTATAGCTGGGCGTGCACGTGGCACTGGGCCTTCGGGTTCTCTGGGGGCACTGCAGGCTGGGCACAGCCATCTGTCTCCTGACCCAGCTGCACGCACCAGATCCTATACCACACAGGCTGGCATGGCTGGTGACCACCCTGTGTGACACGTCCCTATGGGTCTGGTGAAAGTACCTGTGCCCACTGTGCCATGGCATGGGGGTTGCCAGCCAAGTGGGGAGCCCTGGCAAGAGGCCCCAAGTGTTTCCTCCACACAGCCTCCCCTGGGGACGCAGGAGCGTCTTGCCATGGCAGCCAGAGCGCCTGGGAGGTGCGTGGCCTGTCTCATGTCTCCTACTCCCCAGCATGCACAGGACGTCACAAATGGGAGCCTCAAACGGAGAAGGAACAGCTAGGCAAACAGGAAGGTGAGGTCTCCAGAGGACACAGCTGCCTCGGTGGGCAGAGGCGGCGGTGGGCAGCAGGGGTGCCTGCCCAGCTCACAAACACAGTGACACAGGGACCCCCAAAAGCCAACTCATAAGGTCACGGGCAACGACTAGACTGCACCACTACTACACCACGCATGGTCTGGTACATTGTTTTAATAAGTGCATACAAAGGCAGAAATACACAGGAAGCAAAATGTGTCACAAACCAAGTTGTGATCCAGTCCCCAGAAGGCACTCCCCCCTTAAATACACAAACTTAACTTCCCCAGCCACGCCACGGCCCACGGGAGACAGTCCACGGGAGATGGCCCACGGGAGACAACCCACGGGAGACAACCCACGGGAGACAGCAGGACAGAGCAGGTGGACAGTCGCCCATCAGGGCAACACTGCTTCAGCAAGATCCTGCAGGAGCTCTGCGCCAGCGTCTGCCAGGGCAGAGCCGAGCATGCCCACTCCTGCAGCATCTCTGGCCACGCCTGCCATCCTCCTGAGCGCCTGGTCTTGGCCCTCAGAGACAGGGATGGGCTGTGCCTTCTTCCTGCTGCTCTCTGGGCACACACCATTGCCTCCCACAAGCTGCCAGGCACATGCCACACGGGGGAGACCATGTCAGCCCTACAGAAGCGGGTCACTTGGCAAACTGAAATGCCACCAAAGCCAGGCACCAGCTGGCTGAACTCTGTGCAGCCTGGCTGAGTGCTCGCCGCTGCCCAGCCTGAGGGAGAGGCCGGGCACGCTGAGTCACACAGCACCAGCAGGCTGACACCCAGGGCTTTCACCATCAATCACGCAGCAGTGTGAGCAGCTTCAGTGCGGGCGGCCTGGGCGGGCAGGGGTGCTGCCTCCTCTGGGAGCCCCTCCTTCCACCACAGAGCCACAGGATCAGCCACCAGGTCCCCATGGGCCCCATCCTTAGCTTGGTGACAGCAGTGAAGTGGTGGTGGGGTGTAGCTCCATCTTTCCCCAGAGCCACCCTGAGGGCCTGGGCAGCAGACAGGCTGCCCTGACTTCCCACAGCCCAGGAGGGCACGCTGAGGAATGCACCCGCACCCTCAACAGCCCCAGAGGTCGAGGAGGGTTATACAGCCCAGGGATGGCCGGACCCATCAGGCCTGGGGCTGCGGGGGAGGGCAGGGGTGCTGTGGGGTGGGCGATGCACAGCCCCACTGGGGTGCTGAGAGTGGAAGGGGGTGCATGGCTGTCCCGGGAGGCCTTGCAGGAATCCACCTGCAGTCGGTGTGGAGCAGTGGAGCTTGGCTGCCCCACACCGACTGGAGGGGGGCGGGGATAGGCTGAGTCCTCAGGCTGCCTTCTTCCCAGGTCCGGGCCCCCACAGGACCCTCCTCTGCCTTGCTCAGGTCAGCAGTAAAGTCCGTGGGCGCCTCAGTGTTTCAAAGCCAGCTATTTACAACCTCTACTTTCACAAAAGACTGCAGAACCTTTTTTCCTTTTTTAAATCCTGGATAATCTATCGCCAAGGAGATTCACTCACTCTGAATCTTTGGGAAAACGCTCATGATTTTAAAGGACACATGTGTATGTGTTCATATGCACACCTATGTGCTCTGCCAAATGTCATGCTGGTGACATGCCGCTTCCCCGAGACCAGCACTGCTGCCTGAGGTTGGCTTGGTGCTCGCTGGCTCACACCGCATTGTCTAAGCAGGTGGTCCCTGTCCCTGAGTGACACTCCATGGCTGAGGTCTCCGACTGCCACCCCTTGGCACGGGGTTCGGCCTAAGAGCCCAACACCCTAGGAAGGTCACAGTCCTGGCATGGCCATGGCTTGCCAGTCCTGCCAGGTAAGCCAACTCCTGGGGAAGTGGGCACGAGGCAGGGCGCTGCGTGGCAGTCACCTTCGTGAATGACACTGCAGGGGCCAGTGGGACAGGGGAATCTTGCAACACTGAGGCTTCACCAAGCGCTGTTCCCACACCGGGCATGGCCATGTCACACCCTGTACCCCAGGCCCGGAGCACACGGTGGGGCCATGCTGGACACTCGGTTACACCATGTGCTGTTCCCACACCGGGCATGGCCATGTCACACCCTATGCCCTGGACCCGGAGCCCATGGTGGGGCTGGGTGGGTATCCAGAAGCCAGAGTGCTTTGATGCCATAGGGCAGTAAGTCCTGGCATCTGGGTTTGTCTTCAAGGGTTTTGCCGTCACCAATCATGTCAACGACTATGGTTAGGGAGAGAAGAGTGCTAGGGGCCTGGTGGTTTTATAAGGTGTGGTATGGCACGGAGGGCCTGGGCCTGCCACTTTACTCAAAAGCCATGTAAAGCCAGGGGACATGGACCAGCTGACCACAGGCAAGTCTACATTGTGGTTGGAATGCCAGCTGGGTCTCAGTTCCTGGGCAAGGTGTCAGTCATGCCACCTGGTCCCTAGGGGATACCAGCCGACCCCATGAGGAGAGATTTCCACCTACAGCACATATGTCAAGGTGATTCGCAAGAGTGCCACCCCCAGTGACCAGGGCTGGACTTGCAGACCCCCAAGCACTCCCCACCTCGCCCCAGGACACAGCTCAGACCAAAGAGAAAGCACACAACTTGAGGCAGACTCACGGCAGGGCGTTTGCTCCAAGTCCTGAGCTACCTTATGCATGTCACCAAGCAGTGAGTGACCAGTGGCTCAGGACACAGCCCAGAAGTGGGGGAAGCAGAGGCACAGTCAGGCGCAAGTCCCCACGTGCATGAGAACACGGCACTGGCCTCACAGCCCACACGCCAGGCCACCTCGGCGGTCATAGGTCCTTGTGTTCCTGGGCCACGCCCAATTACCATCCCTTATGGAGAGGAGGGTGCCTGGGCACCCCGCCCTGCCCCGCTGGGAGGCCACTGGCCAAGTCCTTCTGCCAACAGGCCCCCCAGCGGCCTTCTGTCCCGTGCCCACCAACATCGAGGCGCCCTACTCCTCGGAGCTCACCTTGCCAGAGCCCCGCTTGGGCGCACCCCTGTCGCCACTGAAGAAGCGGCCGATGGAGTCGAGGAAGCCCGTGTCCCTGTGCCGGGGCAGGAAGCCATGGCGGGCATGGTCCACAGTGCTCGCTGTGGCCAGGTACTTGGAGCCGTGCCGCTGGGAGGGCCTCTTCTGGGACGCCATCGCGTCAGTGTCCTGCGGAGCTGCTGTGCTGTCTTCTGGGATGGTCTGGAGCTCGTCGGACTCGGAGGGCCTGTCTTTGAAGGTGTTGTCCTCCCTGCCCGGGGCATCTCGGGAAAAGAGGCGGATCAAGTGGGGGCGGCCCCTGGGGTCAGCTGGGCGGGCGTCCTGCCAGGCATTCTTTGGGTCGGTTGTGCTCCTGGAGTCTGTCACCACCGTGTCCCTAGCCGAGACCCCATTGTTGTGGCTCGCATCTGGCTCTCCTGCAACAACAAGGAACTGTGAATACAGGCCTGTGCCGCTCGGGCCGGACAGAGCTGCTTTTCTTCCAGGGGGCTTGGACTGGCTGTCTCCTATAAAATCCACAGAAAAGTGTGGGGCCCACACAGCCTGGGAGCACCGCAGGCCAAGCGAGCCGGCCCAGAGCCCCGCTCCAAAGGCGGCCCCAGCGCTGCGGTGGGGGGCTTCCTGCGGGAACAGCACTCATCTCCAGGGGGGAGGCTGGCCCGAACACGGACCCACCACTGGCTCGACAAAAAAGCTGTTTCTGGCATTCTCAGCAAAGCTGACCTTCCCATTTCCTTGTGTAAGTCACGCCGTAAAGCAGTGGGACACAGAGTCCTTTCACTCCCAGATCCCACAGGAGGCCTCTTGCACCAGAGAAGAGCTTACTCTGCAGTTTTAGCCTGGCTGTTTTCTCTGGAAAGCAGCGGCAGCCAGAAGGGTTGAAGTGGGAATGCAGTGCTCGGTTGCACGCCTCCACTGAGAGCAGCGCTCTCATCAACAGCCACCAATCAGTTTGGCTCTAATTCTACTACTCAATGACAGAAAAACATAGATTACTGCAATGCATCATTCTGCCCATTCATCCAGTGATGTGCCCAGCAGCATTCACGGTTCACCCACCCGTGTACACATCACCCATCCATGGCTGCATCCACCTGCTGCCCACCTAGACGGCGGTGCACTCACTGTGGATGGGTCCATGCATTCTGCGTCTACCCACGAGGGTACACACACACGCGCACACACCTGTCTACCCACCCAGTCATCTGTCCATCCATCCACTCATTCATGTGCATACACATGTATCTATTCACCCCATCCACCCACTTAGCCACGTGTGTACACATGTGCATATTTATATGTGCCTGTGTCCCTTTGTCTACCCATCCACTCACCTCTCACCCACCCATCGCTCCATCAGATCACCCATGTCAACATCTACCTAGATCTATGTGGATATGTCCATCAACAACTGTCAAAAACGCAGCCTTCCATGCGTCTGTCCAGTCCTCCATGTGTATACATGTTTATATGTAATCCCTGTATACCCATCTTGTCTTCCACCTATGTGCCCATCCACCCACCTGTACATACACAGATGTGCACCCAAGGCTTCCATGTGCCCACTCAGTCCCCTCAGCCACACATCCACACATCTCTGTTTAGCGAGCATCTGTGATGCATTTTTCTACATGTCTGAGTTATAGCAATGAATAAGCAATTGTTCCTGTCCCTTTATGAAGCTCAGGTTCAGGTGGGGAAAGAAGACGAAAATGCATGTTAGGGTGTGAGGCATCCTCCAAAAATGGCCTGCCCAAGACCTGTTCCTCACACCCAGGACCGTGACGTTCCTGGGAAATGGGGTCTGCAGGGTCCCTACACCCAGGACCGTGACCTTCCTGCAGATGTGGTGATAATGAGGCCTCCTGTTTAGGGTTGGCTGTGGTCAGGCCCAGTTGGGCGATTTGTATCTTTCCGAGAAGCTAGGAACATGACACGGGAGAGGCCTGGGGCGGGGGGTGCTCCCTCCCTGGAGACCCCCTGACTTAGGACTTCCGGGGTCTCTGACACAGTGAGTGACTTGAGGGCCCCAATGAGTTGTCTCTCACCAGGCTGCAGGTGAAATGGGAGCTGGCTGAGGGTGTCAAGTCACCAGCCCGTGTGTGGGCGGGTGAGGGCTGGTGGGGTAGGGGGCTCGTGGTCTACAGGTGGCAGACCTGGACCTTCTGGGCAGGAGAATGGTGCCAAGGGGGAGGTCACACAGGGACACTGGGCCCCTGAGGGCCAGGAGCAGGCTGGCAAAAGAGCATGGTGGAATGCATAGCTGGTTGGCTTCAGAAAGGAGGGACCACAGGCTGGGTGTGGAGAGGCCGATTCCCAGGCCAGGAGAGGCAGAAGGACTGTGCACGGGGAGAGAGGCCGGGTGTGAGGACAAAGGCTGCTGGCAGGCCCCTCCAAGAGTGCACTCCCAGAGGGAGCTGGGGCAGCAGGGACAAGCAGCAAACACCTACTAAACCAGGCAGTGGGGGAAGGCTGAGCAGGCTGTGAGGGGCTGTGTCAGGGCCCCCTCACCCCACTTCTGGCTTTAGAGCACAGCTCTCCGTTTGTGTAAGGCTTCCCTGCACCACAGTGCAGTCTGCCAAGGGCCAGGCGCCCATGGCGAGCCTGGGAGCCTCTGCTGGCAGTCGCTTGGACCTACAGGCTGTCCCAGCACGTGGGTGGTTTCCCCTGAGGAATGCCGTCCCAAAGGTCCTGCACCTGGCGAGAGCCGTAACACGGGGCCCCAAGGGGAGGGCGCCAGCCAGCACAGCCCAGAGTCGGAGTCCCACAGGCCGCGTGAGCCTCGCCTCAGCTCGGGGTGGCTGTGCGCACGCTGAGATGTAGGTCCAGGCCATGGTCAAGGGCAGCCGTGCAAACAGATTCCTGAGCACAGGAGCCCTAGGCCTTCGTGTTGGCTCCTTCCTGCACACTTCCCACAGCGGGCAGCAGCCTGGACACCCTGTGAGGCACACGACTGTCCTTGGCTGGCTTCAGAGAAATACTTGGGTTGAAAAGACAAGTTGCTTGAGAGAATTTTATCCCCTGAGAAATATTGACCAACACCACACTCCCCCAAACCTCACAGCTGGCCACCTGAGAGGTCAGCCTGGCACCTCGGCCTTGGGCTCCCTCACCCACCCTTGCAAGAACCTGAATATGCTACAATGGCCTCCTGTGGGATGAGCGCTCTGAAGGGCACGGAATGGCAGCTTGGAAGCTTCTGGCCATGAGGTCCTCCAGGAACACACCCCACGTGTTCCTCTCTGAATGCGTCCACGGTCGGCTGAACGGGCCCACTGCCTCGTGCTGTCTGCCTGGAGAGTCACAGAGCCTCCTTCTATGGGTCAGGTAAGGGGCTGAGGCCAGACGTTCATGGGGCCCGCAGGGTTCTTTTCTTGCGTTGGATGTCCATGGGTGGAGAGGTGGACAGGCACAACCCTCTCCCACCAACACACAGCACAAAGGACATCGCACACCTCACCTCACCAGGCATGTCTGGTGGGCCCAGGACCGCCATGGCCCAAGTACAGGACCCATCTCCTAGGCCGTTGGTCATGCACGTTTGCCAACAGCAGAGCATGGGAACCAGCACAGCTGTGGTCGTGTTTATGCTGCTACTCCACACAAAGCACCTGGCTGCCCAGGGTGTCTACACCGACCAGGCTGTATGCCTCAGGAAAAGGTCACCCAATCCAGCACTCACACGGGATACACAGGGTAAGATGGGGCAGGACTCCTGGATGGCACCATCGTTCTTTGAACCCCTGGTGGATCCAGCCATACAGCGCTGGTGTTTGCGAGATTGGTTCAATGCATGGCTGCGTGAGGTATCTGAAAAGCCGCTTGAAGAGTGGTGTGATCAGCCTACAGCCACGGCCAAAGTCAAGTATGGGAAACACGGAGCCTTGGGGCTGCAGCGACCTGTGTAAGGCCTGGGTGGCTACAGAGTGGCCTGTTATCTACAGGGCAACGAAAGGGTCTTTACCAAAGGACTTTGGAGCTGTGCTTTTCCTTTGCTGGCTGAGATCAGTTATGCAAATGTGGAAGACAATGGCTCTATTGTGCTAATTAGCAGCATTAACAAAACACAGGACCAACTGAATGCTAATGCGGGCGCCACAGGGGGCCTTTGTGAAGCACACAGCAGGCATCTGTGACCTACCGTCGCTTCCCCCAGCACCCACGTGGGGCGATCAGGAGTGGGTGTGCCGTGCTGCAGGGCAGCGCCCCGGCCTCCCGGGCAAGGCCGGCACTGGTTCTGCCGTGTGCTCATCCACTGCGCGGGTCTGGTGCGCTTGTGCCCAAAGGCCAGGGTGCAGGAAAGCCTCCCACACTCGTACAGCCCCGTCTCAGTGTGCAATGGCTCAGCACTGAGGTGGGACAAGTGCTGGGCCTGCGAGGCAGTGTTGCCACACCTCCGAAAGGGCACTTCACCGACCCCTGCACGGCTCAGTGACACCAGCAGGGCGGGCCTGTGACACACAGGGGCAGAAGGGCGGCGTACTTCTTCCCTCCTGTGCTGGGTCTCCACACCCACCAGACCTTCACATTGTGCCCTAGATGCCGGTGCCCACCCTTCATGCCTCCACTCGGCCCCTGGAGGGTGGGAGCTGCCTCCGCCTCTCCGGGAAGCCCTGCCCCAGGTTCATGCGGCAGGCTCCCTGCAGACACGTCGGCTGCATGGCACGCAGAAGGAGCAACAAGGTCCCCACGTCACACAGCTCTACCGACTTCGCTTTCTCCAGTGCCTGCGGGACAAGCTCTTCCACCCGCCTGCCTGCCCTGGCTTCTCCAAGAGAACACAGCCAGGTGTGAGCCACGCTTCCTTTTTCAGTGGTCCTTGGTGTCTGTCTTGGTCAAGCCCCGGTGGCTGTCCCCACCCTTCCCCATCCCCTGGGAAATCTTGGTCAGCAGGCCTGGTCCTGGGGGTGGTCACTGCACAGCCCCCATTTGCTTCTCCAGCCCTTCCTGCAGCGAGCTTTGCCCTGAGTGGGCCAGACTTGGTCAATCCCTGGCTCAGCTGGGGCACTGCGAAGGCCTTGCTAGATGCTGCTCAGGCCCACCAGTGGCTGTTGACTGGATTCTTCTTCAGAAGGGAAGGACCCAAGCCCCTGTGTGCCCCATGAGAGAGCCTGGGTATGGGTAGGTGCCATGTGCAGGCTGGGCACCCATTCTTAGGTGCCACCTGACGCTGCATTCTGGCAAACGTGTATGGAGCAGGGTCCCTCCTGGGTGTACAGGGGATTCTGTACAACTCCAGAGAGCCACTGGCTGCAAGGTACGGGCTGGTGCTGTGGTACAGCGGGTGAGGTCGCTTGTCTGTGATGCTGGCTTCCCACACGGGTGCTGGTTCTAGTCCTGGCTGTTCTACTTCCCATCCAGCGCCTTGCTAGTGGTCTTGAAAAGTAGCAGAGAATGGCCCGAGTTCTTGAGCCCC